TAGCAGAGGCTCGCTTTGGTTAGTACAGTACAAGAAGTAAAAGAAAGATTGTGCTTTCTTTTTAGTTTCAGGGTGATGTACACCTTACAAGGAAGATATAATTATTTGACATTTTAGTAAGTCGACATCCAAATTAAAGCTGCTGAAAATAAGGAAAAATTCATGATCCAACAGCAGGGAATATCGTTGTATACAGTGTATTATTATTCAATACACATTCACACCCCCCCCCCCCTCTTTCTACCAAATATATAACAGGCACAGTTTAGAAGGGGGTATGGTGGTTTATCCTTGTCCCTGATAAAAAAAAAATAAATAAAAATAGAAAAAGAAATAATTGGTCGCCTAATACGCCTCAGAGGTTATTTTCGGTCGTCCAAAGAGGGGTGTCTATAAAACGTAGACCGAAGACCCCTTTTTTTCTCTATTTTATTTTGATGATAATGAACCTGGCTGTCACAAAATCAAAATTACGAAATTTTTTGGGCGTCTCTGAAATATTCAAGGATCTTTGTTTTATAGACACCCTATATAGGTGTCTACAAAACGAAGACCTTCAATTATTTTGCAATTATCTTGTTGTAAGTATTTCAAAATCATCATAAAACAGTTGCCAAGTACGTATTTCATTTTTCCATCGGAATAAATTTAGGAATATCAAGAAATACTTAAGGGTCTTCGTTTTATAGACACCCTATATGGGTGTCTATAAAACGAAGACCCTTGTTTTTTTCTCTTTTGTTTTGATGATAATACACCTGGCTGTCACAAAATCAGAATTACGAGGTTATTTCAGTGATAGTTTGTGAAATTATCAAAGGTCTTCGTTTTATAGACACCCATATATGGGTGTCTACAAAACGAAGACCTTTGAAAGGTCATTGTTTGTCAAAAAACAATTAAGGGCCTGAGACGACTGAAAAGCGGAGTTTCCTTCTTTTGTTCTGCCAGGTAAAATCAATTACTTTAGGCGACGTTTGTAGACTAACCTACTCGTACCAACGTCCGCATGTCGCGCTAGCCTTATCCTACTTTAGGCCTAGACTAGCTAGGATGGTATAGGCCTAGCCTTGAAGGGACGAAGGTCCCAATGAAAAACAACATCGCTCCTTGATATCTAACATTGTCTATTTAACATCACAATAATTCATTATTAGACCTATAGTTGTTTTTTGAATTGTACTCCACAAATCTCAGCCGATATCTCGCACAACTCGTTAACGTCTCGTATCTATTGTCGTGACTTCATGGCTCGCTGGCTCTCACTTGTGATGACTTGCACTTGTGATCAAATAACACGCTGGCTCGCACTTTGGCAACACTTTTTGGCAGTCAACTCGCCCCTAGAAAACCCGCCCTTGGAAACTTGCCCCATAAAAAAATGTACACTTCCTAGACCATGCAGTCTTCAAAATATAAATTGTAACCCTTGGTAATCACCTACATTTTCCACATACATAGAAATTTTTGAAACTTTATTAAAAAAAACCTAAACCATAATTCACCACTATAGACACTTTTTGACAAAAATGAAAAATTACGACTTTGTTATCCAATGAGAAGTGTTCTTATAGACAATGGGTTGTGTCTCATATTATTTGTTATATTTTTATTATTCATTATTTCCACTTGACTCGCATAAATAATTTTGTTCGAAGAACATTTATATGCAGTTCGCATATCCCCCCACTTTGAAATGTGGGGGACGCGTCCCCCTGTCCCCCACCGGTCGACGCCCATGATTCCTACTGTTTATTTTAACATGAAACATGTTTGTGAATGAAATATTCAAGGCCTTTGTAGGCCCCAAAATACGCGTACCGCTAGGCCAGCCTTACTTACGTTCGAGGGCAGCAGCGCCAGACGCGCTCTGCCGCCAGCCATGGAACAACATTATGGCTGCTGCTTTGGAACTCTAATAAAAAGGAAATAATTAAATTGACTCCGATTCAGGAAATAATGTGCTAATAAGACGAATACTATACATACATAGCATAAAGTGAAACATTATTTTCATCACGTTTCAGAGAAAAAAAATGTGGGTCTTCGTTTTTCGGTCTTCGTTTTGTAGACACCCATATGTCTATAAAACGAAGACCTTTGATAATTTCACAAACTAAAGTTCAAATAACCTCGTAATTGTGATTTTGTGACAGCCAGGTGTATTATCATCGAAACAAAAGAGAAAATATAGGGGTCTTCGTTTTTGGGTCTTCGGTCTTCGTTTTATAGACACCCATATAGGGTGTTTATAAAACGAAGACCCTTAAGTATTTCTTGATATTCCTAATTTTATTCCAATGAAATAATGAAATACGTACTTGGCAATTGTTTTATGATGATTTTGAAATACATACAATAAGATAATTACAAAATAATTGAAGGTCTTCGTTTTTCAGGTCTTCGGTCTTCGTTTTGTACCCATATAGGGTGTCTATAAAACGAAGACCCTTGAATATTTCACAAACAGACGCCCAAAAAATTTTGTAATTTTGATTTTGTGACAGCCAGGTTCCATAAGAACACACAAAAAATACAGGGAGGTACTGTAGCAATATTGAGAATGTAAAATGTTTTTAACAACTGGTATATATCTGTACTTTCGTGCCTACATAGCTTATTCTTTCCTTATTCCTCCACGTTCACTAAAGCTCTCCTATCAACTAAAGCCAAATGCATTCCCATCTCAAACTCTTATATAGTGTGTGATGTATGCAAATTAAGGCTTCAGTCATGGCATAGTTTTGATTGGCGGACCGATTACTAACCACTCACTGTGTTATGGT